TATCTAGAATATACAAAATATGATGAGTCTGTACTTGTAATTTATAATTCCATTTATATTTTTTAAATTTCCATATACCGGGTGACTCAAAAAAAAAATGAATGCGTAAATTTATTTTATTGGTTTACTCAGGAACTACAGAACCGAATGCTTTGAAATCTACTGCGAAAAAAAAAACATAAAAGGCATGCAGTCGTCACGTTTCCGACGGCGAGGAAAGTACTGTCTAAACTCTTTAGACCAATTTTTTTTATTTATTTATTATGAACATTTAAGAGTACTTTATTTGAAAAAGTGATGAAATTTTTTTTACGGAACAATTGGTCGAAAAATGTTAGAAAGCAAAATAATCCAGATCCGGACAGAGACCATCGTCATTTCTGAGGACAACTACCTGCTACTACGTCGGGTCGCAGTCATAACATTACGAGGACGGGGGAGGCTGCCGGCGACGTGCGAGGCGCTAAAGAAAACAAAGCCGATGTTTGGTAACAGTACTCGCACAAGAATCGCCGACACTGTCTGGGGTGAAATAGAGACCCTAAATAATATTTAGGGTCTCTAGGGTGAAATGGTTCCTTGCGCCATCTATGAGACTGTTAAATAACTGCAGGTTGACTGTCTGTTTATATATAGTCACTGACGATATCTACGCGTTTTTGAATTACCAGTGGCGTAGCGTAGACAAATTCTAGGGAAAATATTTTTGTCGATTCTACTTTTTTTTTATTTCGATTGTAAAAGTTAAGTGAATAGAGTGAGAGTCTTTATAAAAAAAATTAAATAAACTAGACAAAATTATCTACTTTTTAACATATTTTCTTCATACTCTTTTCTCTCATATGATTGAAACAATATTTTATTGATTAAATCTAAAGCCGTCTACGTCGTTTTCCTAAAATCATTATTAAAATCTAATCTCTGCAACAGCTGATAATTGACAACAAATAAATAATTAATAACTAATCGCTATCACCATCAATATTCATACTTGATTCAATGTTAGATGTAATACGCGTCATGGCAAACTAGAGCAGAAATTAAAAAAATCATACGGTATAATATTCATTTCACAGACACTCTCAACTTTGGAACAGAAAATACTTAACAAAAAGGAAAGAAAATAAAGGTACAATAGACACAGTAACGTAACAAAATATAGTAATAAAAAACAGATAATTGTATTACGATATTTTTTATTTCTAATACTACACAAGGACGCAATTTTATTGATTCTGAACGACGTACCTATTTCTGTTTATCACTCTATAAAATCTTGCAACACAAATTTTAAAAATAATACTTCATACCAGAGTTACCGTGCTCTTTTGCTTTATTCTTAACTCTGCTCCTGAAACGTTGAGCCCAAAAACTCAATTAACGGGCTTCCAACCCCGAAAACGAACATGTATTGATTCCGACCGTGCAAGCCTCCCAAATTACTTAAAATAATGTTTTCATGCATCATTCAAAAATTCCAACAAAGCTAGAATAACTTTGATAAGTCACATCAAAATGGTAAGAGTAAAATATGGTTGTAAAACGTAAGGAGTTAATATTCATGACATACAAAAATATATAGAATGTTCCACTTAAAATATCAGAAGTTTATGTTGCGCCTCAAAAACGCAACACTCTATACAATTCAAAACAACTGATTTGCCTTTATTATGTGGCATATAATTCAAATATGATTGGATTATTCTCTCTTTATAAATTAAAGTCAAACTTGACATTTGTCGGAGCTTGGTGTGCAAATATTCGATAGTGATTTGCATGGCTGCCGACTAAGGTTGTCAAAATTGTTAAATTTATTTTGCCGAATTTTTAAATTTATAAAAAAGATTCTCCAATAAATAAATAATACAAAAAAAAAATATTTTAGGAGGTTAATGTCTCACTCGTTCTTGGTAACCACTCGTTTTACAAATTTTAGATTGTTTGAAAATAATGGTCATTAGCGGGTCATAAAACTACTAAAATATCGAGTGTCGAAGTTATTTATGTATTAAGGGCATAATCAGGGAGATTGTGGCACGAGGGAATGTTTAAAGCCCGACGAAGGAGGGCTTTTAATTTCCTGAGTGCCACAATCGACAATAATGTACGTGGTACATACAACGTTTTATTCTATTTTAGTTTCTAAACTATTTTTAACGAAATATTGAGTATTTTCGGTCAAACTGTGTGAATTGTGCCGATGCAAACTTTAATACATAGCTGGCTATTATTTTGACGTTGTTATGGATACCGCGTTGATAATTTGATAATTCGTTTGTCAAAATGCAAATTAAAGAAGCGGAAAACGTTTATTCAAAATAAAGTTTAGAAGAATTTGAAGTCGGCCAGGTAATGATTTGATAAAATATTATTTTTTCTACTTTATTAAAAGTGTTGAATATCGAAGCTTGTTTGAATAATTAATTAATTAATATTATAAATGAACCATCAATTGTTGCTTTGGAAATTTTTGACAGATTTGTGCGATAAAGGGCAACTTACGCCCTCATTTGGGTGCTTATAAACAAGATTACGATTCTAAAATAGAATAAATTTAAGTTAAAATGAAAAACGATTCAAAATAATTTGAAAATGAAAACATATTGACATTTTAGAAATCTATGTAAAACATTGAACAAGCCTTAGGGACGTAATTAAGTATATTTGTAAATTGTACTAAGTTACTGTGTCCTTATACTGCCGTAATAAAAAGATTTAAGTAAGTTCAAAAACCTTGGGGGAGCTTTGTAAAAACATTTTATAACGAAACAATCATTTTATTACATTGAAATGGATATATATTTCCCAATTTTTAACTCGCTGGAAGGATTAGGGTATCTATTCTAAAAAAAAAAAACAATAATTTAATAAGAATTTTAAAGGACCTACATGTAGCAAGGTAAATACTTTAATTGCAATTTTGTAACATGTTAAGCAGTATACGACTAAATCGTTTATTTTTATTAGCTTTGATAAAGTAATTAACACTCGTGGAACTATACCGGCTACATATAATTTAGCTACTGTTGCTCATCAGTGGAATACTTTTGATGAATCTAACTGGTGGGCACTGGAACAGGCAGTTGTAGATTTGGTAACGAACGGAGATGTTGGTAATAATGCCACAGTGTTAACTGGAACGCTAAAAGTGGCTACCCTAAACGACTGGAAGGGAGTTCCAATGGAACTTTACCTCCAAGATGGTCGATTTCCAGTTACTCGTTGGTTTTGGAAGCTCCTTTTTTTCCCTGATCTCAAGTTTGGTGCCATATTCTTCGGATATAACAATATTTACGACAAGAAAATTAAGGTGGATGCTGAATTTTTGCGTGAAATTTGTCATGTAGATATCCTGGAAACAATACGAGGCAGTTGGTCTTTGGATCGTATTAATAAATCAGACCAGGTTATGGGTTATATATACGCTTGTGGTTTAAAGCCTGAACAGATAATTGATCCTCTTATAAGAGAAATTGTGAATAATGCTCTGAAAGAATTTGGAACTAGAAATGTCGACGTGTTTGATAATAGTGCGAAGTAGAATTCGTTTTTGTAGATATTTTACAATGAATAAATATTTGTAATTTTTTTTGAAACTTTGTTTTATTATTACTTGTAGATATATATCTTTTAATGGATACCTTTTGGTGATTTTATTAGACAACTAATCTTAGTACAAGTGTATAAAGTGAATGAACTATACTCAGGATCGCGTGGATTTTTAACGTAACCTGACATGGGCGGGGCCTACGCTAGGTGTTTTTGAATTACCAGTGGCGTAGCGTAAAAAAAGGAAAATAAATTTATAAAAGTCATTGAATAGAATGACAGTCTTTATATATAAAAAATAATAATAAACTAGAGAAAATTATCTACTTTTGTAACGTATTTTCTTCATACTCTCTTATTTCTTACTAGAAATATTTAAATTAGGTGGATTAAAAAATTGCTTGAACCAATATGTTTGTTTGCGTTGTTGATTTCCTAAAATCATGATTAAAATCTAATTTTTGCAACTGCTGATAACTGACACCAAAAAAATAATTAATATCTAATCGCGATCAACATCAATTTCAACATTCATATTTGTTTCAATGTTGGATATAATAATTTATTTTTCGTTAGATTTTTTAGATTAGTTTCGTTAGGATGTAAATGCACTATTGACGTACCTGTCATGATAGGTGACATGATGATTTCACAGAAACTCTCAACTAACTAAAAGAATATAATTATGAGCAGAGGAATCACAAGAAACAAAAAGCTGGGAAGCTAGAACAAAAAAATCCATGAGATAATTAGTTCGTTCACCCTTTTAAGACAAACATCACAGATTTCTAAAAAAATATAAAGAAATATGAGGAAATACATTCAAAATGAGGATTATTTCCCAAAACATGTTATCTTTAGTAGATTAAAACTAACGTAACTAATAATTTTAGAATTAGTAAAGATTAGTAGTACCTAGTACTAAATCATTGGATCATTAAATTTTTGGATCTAATTACGAAAATTGTTTGTAATGATTTACGACACATTTATGTATTTTCTCTTATCTCTTTTAACTTTAAGCTTTTCCACAACAAGTAGTGTATTTCCAGGTTAGTACCTTGTACACAGAAGTGTAATATTAAACTAAATATAAGTAACTGTTACCATTAGATATCAACAAACAAAAAATATCAGATCGCTACTTAGACGTCTTGAAAAAAAAAACAGCTTTAGATATAAATGGCCACACTTACGTTTCCAAAGATAATGTAGATTCTGAATTTTTGGGTGAAATATGTTATACTGATGTATTTAAGATACTATAAGACACTTGGCTGTTAAATGGTGATTCTTTTTTGAGATATATTTATATTTGCCAATTGGACACAAATCAAATGATCGACACTCTTCTCAAATCGTTAGAAATGTGTTTTTAGAAGGCAGCTTGATCAACTATCAGATGTTCAATTAAAGATAAATCGAGGATAGTAGATAAATAAAAATTTACATTAAGAAAATAGTTTTTTTTATTTTTTTTAAGATTTTACATTTTATTTTTACTTCTGCTATAACAGACTCCATTAGAGGAACAGTTGCTCTGAACGTATCACGCCGAAAACTTTAGTGCCATACTCATAGCAGTAAAACACCCACAACCAGCAAATTTTTTACTGGACACCATACAAAAACAAGTTGAATTTCTAGTAATGCACATTACTAGATAAACGAATATTATTTAAACAATCTACGCTGCTACTACTATATATATATATATATATATATATATATATCCGGTCTTGTCTAAACGACTTCGGGAAATATTCCAAAACTAGTCACATTTAGTTCTGCAAGAAAATTAGTAACAATTTCACCAATAAGGGGATCAATTATTTGAACAGTGTTCAATGGACAAGCATAGGTATATCCCAAAAATGGGTCTGTGTTGTCAATATCATTCAACATCCAACTACTTTGTAACGTTCCGAAGACATCCGTGGAACATATTTCCGTCAAAAATTCCGCGTCAACGAGAAACTTGTTCACGTAAGGATTATTATATCCGAAGAAGATTGCACCGAAGTGCAGCTCTGGAAAATAAACAATCTTCCAAAACCATCTTGGAACTACAATATGTACTGCAATACGAAGTTCAACTTCATCTCCGGTGGAATTTGTCAAAGTAGCTAATTTTAAGGTTCCCGTTAAAATTGTGGCACCTTCGATATCTTGACTTTGTAACAGATTTATAATTCCATTTTCTAGTGACCTCCAGTTGCCTTCATCGAAAGTATTCCACTGTGAAGCAACATTAACTAAATTATAAGTCGCGTCTCTTTGAACAGCATAAACAAAGTCATCATATGGAGCCAGCTGTCCCTTCGTTAAATAATGTTGATCATTGATGTACTCTTGGAGACCCATTTCTTTGAATCTAGTTTCATAATTGTCGTACTCTTCGTCTGCGTTCGAATTGATTAGATAAAAATCAAACACATATCTGGGTGCTTTTGGATAATTCTGGCCAGATCGTGCCCATTTATTTACTTTGTGTTTGACATATAACGGAATACCACTAAGAAGTCGAAAGCAAACCGAATAGACGGGAAAAAATTGTAGATCGGTTGTGTACATTGCAATAGAATAGCCTATTTTAACGGGATGAGTAGAGTTCTCACAATATAAGTCGGTGTGTTTCATTTCTATATATGGTCTTGCTCTGTCAGTGCATATGAAGTTAGCAAGGTCCAAAGTAAGTGCTGTTCCAATTCTGATCGTTGTACCTTCTATGCAGATCATGCTCTGGCCAAGTGCGTATAAGCCAGGTGGTGTGAATTGTCCTCCTGGACAAGCAACGATCATACCTTCTCTAAATCCAACGTGAATGCTTCCATTAGCTGAAGGTTCTGTAAATTCCCTTACGCCTTGAATTATTAAAGGTGCAGTGCCGGCATTGGTCATCACATCAAAGAAACATCCTAAAAAACAAACCATTAAGGGTACCATATTTCTTTATATTATCATAAAAACATAGAATCAGAAGAGGGAACGAACAATAGTTGTTTCATGTAAATAGTGAGTCAATAAGTGTGCACTTTTCGATACCACAACAATTAATAAGATATCAAGAGAATGGCTTTATTGACTCACCCTGTACATCTGTTGTTACCTGGTAGCGCTACGGCTTTATACTTGACGAAAACTACAACAAAAACAAATACGACTGAAAATCGAACCATAATTAAATGTTACTTATAGATTTTGTAGTCAATGTGAAAGTCTGTGATGATTGCGTTATATATACGATTTCTGAAAAGTCCCGCCCTCTAAATAATGTGGTGATCAATCAAATGGAATTAATTTTCATGGCTGCTTTAAACGTTTAAAATCAACTGCATAGTTTAGATAAAATAAGATAAGATAAGATAAAATTTATTGTCCAACAGAATACAATGTTCCATTAATAGGACAATTTTATATATGAAAATATAAAAAATTAATCAAAACCCCTCAACTTAACTTAAGAATTAAATAATAGAATTACATGTATCCTCCACTGATTGATTTAATATTGATTAAATCAATATCTCTACTCAATTCCAATTTACTTAGTAAATATGTGATAATATAAACAGGACTTTTCCTACCTATATTAGTTCGTGGAGTGTGACAGTACAAAGTGACCCTATGTCTACTGTTCAACCGGGGAACATAAAATTTCAGCTTGCTTAGCAATTCGCAACAGTCTAACTTAAGGAATGTTCATTTTATAAAGCGGACACTGAAAAATTGCTACTAATTCGAGTACTTTGGGCTAATTTAATTTTTTTTGTTATAAAAATGTTTAACAATGTTAAATGAAATAATTATTCTTATTCTCTAATCAATTATATTCAGAAACTATAAAATTTTCTAAATATTGCGCGAATACCGCGAATCACTGTTTGCACAGGTTTGTTTGTGATTTTCTTCGTAACAGGAGGCCACATTTTTTTAAATTCTCCAAGTCATGATGTTGTTCGGCCATCTTTTCTTAACACTGCTTTCATATTTGCCCATTATCGCTCAAGTGGACGAAGCTCAGGACAGTTGGGTGGTTTATCTTCCTTTTTTAAAAACTGTACATTATTGGCATTAAGAAGCTCCTGAGTGGCACCAGCGTAGTGAACCGAAGCCAGATCTGGCCAAAACAATGGAGGGTTATGATGTTTGCAATAAACAGGCGATAATCGCGTTTTTATACATTTTTTCCTGTAATCATCGCCCCCAATTGTTCCAATCGTAAAAAAAAACTAAAACTTTTTAGCCCACAAGAACAAATCGGTTGCCACTCTAAGACTTTTTTCCCAAACTTTTCAATTTTTTTTGTTTTCATGTCATCGAGGACATCTTCCCCTACGACTGCATTATAAAACTGGGAGCCGGGTAGTATATTGCAGTCCATTTTAACCTTCGTTTCGTTGTCCATCAAAACACAACGATTTTTGTTTCTGACCAAAATTGTTTATAACTTCCTGCTTTTTTTTTGAAACTGTATGCGCTGCTTTTCGCTTCTTTTTAGGATTTTTTGCTTTAATACGTTAATGTTATTCAGAGTCTTTATATTTTGTACAGTACCTACGGTAACACCTTGCTTCTTCCGTATTTCCCGCACAGACATACATTTCGTTAATTTTAGCAGTTTAATAATGTTTTCCTCAATATTTTCGTTAAGCGGGCCTTTTCTCGGTCTGGATTTGAGCAAATCTTCTAAAGTATTAAACTCCCCAAACTTTTTGATTATTTGGAACACTGCTGATTTTGAACATTTAGTTATTTTAGGCAGTCCCCCCAACGGAAATTGTTCGTAGCATCACTTTTGCAAAGATAATTTTCTTGCCCCAATGGCGATTCGCTTCATTTTAAAAAGAAATAACGTTATTTTGAAAACAAAAATGGCATTTAATAGGTACAACTTAAAGCTTTCATATATAAAAACTAGAATAATTTAGATTAAAAATTAGAAAAGTGGCGTTACTTTGAAGGTGTCCGTTTAATAAAATGAACACTCCTTACCATGTATCAACTTATACAAAAACACAATAGCACTATTAATCCTACGGCAACTTAGCGATCTCACAGCAAATTTGTCTAACAAAAAATTTTGAGCACAATTCCTCACTGGCCACTCTTTCAATTCCTTGAAATAAAGATACTTCAAGAATTTCCTCTGGATGTTTTCAAGGGAAGTGCATTGATATCTGTAGTACGTAAACCAGGCCAGAGAGCAATATTCAAGCTTCGTCCTAACAAGGGAATAATACAAATGTTTCAACGTCTGGATGTTATCAAAATCCTTGCAGATCCTTAATATAAAACCTAACATCTTCATAGCACTAGTTACAAGAAAATCAATGTGGACTTTAAAGGTAAAGTGCGAATCAAACCAGGGGCGGCTCATGACTTGAAAAGTTGATGAGGCAAAGCACAAAACGCTCCAAAATATAAATAATGCAAGGATACTTAAATAGACTCTACTTAGTCCGTTAAACAAATTTGTAAACTCATTTAACTGTCCAGCAAGAACCAACGTGGAGGTGTAGAGAACTCTTGCCAGGAAAGGATGGGAATGACAGGACAAAAGGAAAGGAAAACATAGTCAGAAGAAACTAAATATAAATTCTAACAAAAAACAAAATTAAAATAAACTCTAAATAAAACATAATCAAGGGAATTCTGCGATTTTTTTGTTCCGCGAAATGATCTATTATTTCTTCTGTGAAGTTATTATCTTGAGATTTTATAAATTCCCTTTCAATTGCAATTTTGGCCATGTTACTTAATCGCGCCTGCCCAGTGGTGTTTCTTATATAAGTTTTTATCCTTTTTAATGTCGAAAAACTCCTTTCTGTGGAAGCAGATGTTACTGGCAAGACAACAGCGACACAAAATAATTTGAAAAGTTGTGGCATGCAGGACTGAAGGTTATTCTCGTGGAAAAAAGCTAACATTTCAGTAGGAGTAGTACAATTGTCTACAATATTATTATTGTATAAAACAATCAATTCGTTTTTTAACTGACTCATGTCGAAAAAATGATATTGTTGTGTAAGCGTTTTTAGGAGTTCATCGGGAAATTGTTTAGCAAAAAATGAAAATTTAGAAACATTAAGCAAATCAAAAAAATGTAATTTTTCTATGTCAAAAAATCTAATTTGTATTTGATTAATTATAATATCAAGAATTTCGAAAAAGATTTGCCTTAGTTGCTGCTGTTTATCGTTTATTTCATTCCCTTTGCGACGTTTGGGCGGTAAATTATCAATGTCAAGTTTCTCATAAATTTTGTTAAAAAAATTGTCACTGCTTCTAAATTCTCGTAATTTATCTAATGTTGTTAACAACAAATTCCTGGCTCTGAGAATATCTGTAAATTTACTTTGTAAAATAGAAAAGACGGTATCGGTCTGTTGAAAAATTAATACAAAAGTTTCTAAAAAAAATAAATTTTGGTAATTTTCCAGAAATCCTTTTAAACCCACCGCTCCTCTTATAGAAGCATCGTCAAATTCACGACTATTTATAATAAAATCAAAAACCTCCAACAATTTGTCCTTATTATTGTGAACAGTTAAAACGGCACGAGAAGTGAAATTCCAGCGAGTTATACTACATTAGTGGGCAGGCGCCGGCCACAAATTTCATCCAAGACATGGGTGCGCTTCGTAGATTTTGAAAAATATGAGGAAAATCCTGACAAAGTTGCAAAGAAAACTCTAATTGACTGTATTGAACTACAGGCTCCACTTAAAACCAAATTAAAAGCATGTGCGTAACAATGAGTGAACAATGCTTGTGGTGCAACAGATTTAATTTTTGATTGCAGTCCATTCAATTCGCCAGACATTACAGCTGCTCCATCATATGTTTGAGCTACTAATTTAGTGTTCAAATCAAATTTGTTAAATTTAGTTACTAAAAGCTGAGATAGTTCTTCCGCAGATCGTCCGGAACTTACATCAAAAAATCCCATAAATCGCTCAACAGGTTGGCCCTCATGTATATAACGAAAAATAATAGATAATTGTGAATGACAATTGATATCTGTGGTTTCGTCGACCTGCCAAGAAAAAAATAAAGATTTTGATATTTCATTTTCTATTTTCTTATTTAAAACAAATGCAATAGAATCTATTAATTCATTTTGAATTGTTTTTGACGTCCCAGAAAAAACAGATCTAATATCATTGTCCCTTTGCAAAAAAGTTTTTAAATCGGGGTTAAATTTACTAACTAACGTAACGAGTTCCTTAAAATTCCCACGATTTGAAGAATTTTCTGATTCATCATGCCCTCGAAACGGTAACTCTTGCATACATAAATGCATTGTAATTTCAATTAAACTTTTTAAAATTTGGCGGTTTTCCCGAACTTTAAGATTATAAGTTTCAATTTCAATTTTGCGTGCACTATCTAAAACCGTAGCAATATTTTGTTTTTTGTTCCTCATAAGAGCCAATTTACAGTTTGAAGAAATATGTTCTGTACTTTTGTTGTGCAGTGCTAAACCACGTGACAAGTTTTTAAGATCGGAAAATCCATTTTTCCACCACACTTTTTCGCTGTTATTTGCAAATAAGATACATGGCCAACAAAATAATTTATTCAACTGTATACTTCCGGTAAGCCAGTCGTACTTTTTATACCAAGTATTATTAAATGCTCGATTTGATTTTCCTCGTACGCGTACGTTAATTAACGATTTACTCAAATCTGGAACCGGCCGTTTTAATTCCTTAACAACATAGAGTTTATCATCGTAGGTGAGAGTAGAAAAAACACAATTATTTATCAAAAAGTCTACCACATCATTCGTATTCCTAAGAGTTACCTCGCACCCGAGTTCATGCACCTTGCTGGATTCTGGAACTGCCATTGTCGTAAAAAAAATTACGATTTAATAAAATTTACTAGTAATTTTAAATCTCGAATACCGAAATCAAACTATGAGAATCACAAAGCACTGACTCGACACACGCAACCGTAGGCACGCTTAACACAAAATTCTGTTCCCGAAATTTTGAATCAATTTATTCACACACAAATTTATCACAAAACACAAAACAATCAACTGCCTAATTTTGAATTCGCCTGCAACTGCACCGTGCATACAATCGCACATGCTGCGCGCGCATATACACTCACCGGCAAAAAAATCGAATCATTAGTATTTTTGTAGAAATCTTCAATACATTCTGGTGTGCGTCACATTTATGAGACAAATTAGTTTATCTAGGACAAAGGAGATGAAAAGATAACGACACCTTCGCTGAAGTTGCAAGAATTACGAGTTTATTCAAAAATACGAGAAAATCC